TTTATGTCCAGTATATGTTTTAGTAAATTAGTTTTGTGGAATGCTTATCTAAATGTTATCTAAAGCTCCTTCCAGGTTTAAAATGCTGATTCTATGATATGAATAATCGATACATGCTTTTACTTCTTGACTTTGAAGGAGGTATTAGTATATTTTTGACGTTCAACCATATTGTTGTTCCTTCCAAAAGACAACTTTCATCCCTAAATGTGCACCCTATCACATGTCAGGAATAACACAGCTTAGTTTAAGCCACAAAATTAAAGTATAAACAGTGGTAGATTTGGTATGACCTAACTCCTGGGACTTTGTTTAAAAAGTCACATATTATACATACATATTTTTTGCTTGTTCGATTTTTTCAATGAGCTCTGCCACTGCAGCTCAAGGGAGATTAAGGAAAAAAAAACCCTACATAAACACAAAGCAAAAACCTGAGCCTGTGTGTAAAGCTACTGCACTGGAGCGAATGTGGTTTAATTCTTGGCACTGGGAGCTTGTTGGAGAATTACAATATGTTGGCATGAGTCTCTGGGTTGGGTCTCATTGTTCCAGATGAGGGAGTCAGTCTTAAGGGTGTTTGGCACTGAAGGGAAAAAGGAGTGAGAGTTATAGGGAATGAGCAGGCCCTAAAGAGGCAGGATGCTGTTGTAACAATGGCTGGCACAGTTAGGGGGGCCATTCACTGGCGGGGATTGCCATAGGCACTGATGTGAAGAACCATATGTGAGTAAAAGAGGCAAGGGTAAGAAGGGAAAAGCAAGCAAACATATCAAAAGGGTCCTGATGGCAGAAAGAGACAAAAGTAATCCAGTTAGAGTCATCTTCCTGTTAATGGATTGACTGATAAGGATAACTTTCATTTCTCTCTAATTTATCTTACAGCTTATTTCTTAATATTTATTTTATTTTCTCTTTAAAAATAGATATGCATTTACCTTACCCCTAAAAAGACAGATTCTGTAATTAAGAGGCCGTGGTTTTGTATTCCATCTGTTCTACTTTCTGGCTAGGTGATGCTGGGCCTTGGTTTTCTTACTGAGCCTTAGTTTTCTCATCTGCAAAATGGATATAATGATAATATACAACATTGACAAATATTGTATCTGACAGCATTCTGTAAACTGAAATGCCATGCAAATAATAATAACTATTATTATCTGTCATGCTTATTTTAATATAGCGAGCTCTAGCTTTAATTTTAATGATAATCATGGTACTCCAATGCTTGGGAGAAGTAAATCTCAGGAGACTCTTTAAAGTGTTGAAAGTAAAACTATGACACATCTTAACATGAAAATAATGGATAATCCAGAATTTGAACATTTGGGAATAACTGTATGTCCAGAAACATACCATACTCACAGTTTAAAATACAATTCTACATGTATTTTTTTAAAATCACATCTTAGAAAGTGGAATATTTAATAGATAACTACTATCTCTTTTACTCCATAAGCACTGAAGTAGCAGTTACATAATTGTGTCAGATTTCACTTTAATCATATTCACACATTAATGAACAGGTATATTATAAATATTGAGATTTTGCCATTTGATCTTTCACAGTTTTAATCATTTATATTCTATGGGATCTTTACCATTTTCAGAGAAATTCAGTCATTGGTACATGTCCATTTATTGTGATCATTATTGTGAGATCATTTCATACCACTTCTTCATGAACTACCAGTGGAAATAAATTCAAACAGTAGCAGTTGTAGAATATTGAACATGGATTTGCTTAAAGCTCTTTGTTTTACAGTAATTCAGACAGAGAGGTGAAGTAGGTGAAAAGATATGCTTTTGGTCCCCCTGAGCTAGATAGTGTTAAAGTCCTGGTGAGAATCCATATTGTTTGACTTATAGCCCAATAGTCCTTCCACCTTATGAATGCATTTTCATTTCAATGCATATATCTGCTATATGGTCATAGGTTTTCCTTAAATCACCCAAAATTCTACAGTTCAAAGTCATATAGTGGGACTACATCCTGAACATATTGAAAATTGTAAGGAATCTTGGCTTTTAATCTCATCATGCTGCCCATAGGTACATGTTACCCTGGGACATTCAATTTATCCTTTCAAATGTTTACTTCGTCCATCCACTGGAGTTAATAACAATAGTTTTTCTGACTGTCCATGGCTGTTTTGCAGGTGAAATGCAGTAACGTGTGTGTACTAAAAAGAGCAAAGGCTTTGGGATCCAGTAAGTTGAACTTAGCTCTGTATTGGGCAAGTCACGATATTTCTCAAAGCTTTGGTTTCTTAATGGTGAAACAGACATACCACTATCTAATTCAGGGGATTATTATGAGAAGTTTGAGATACCACATGTAAAGGACCTGGTACACTGTTTCTCACTTAACCCTCAAAATGGCAGCTATCATTATCGTCATCAATAAGAGACTTAGGAATTTGTAGGGAAAAAAATAAACCTTAGTCCAAGGCTCAGCTCTGCCCATTACATATGGTGAAACGTCAAACAAATCCTTTTCTTCCTTTGGTCTTTTTCTTAACCTGAAAGATGGATATAATAACACAATCTGAGTCTTCAGATTTTTGCTTTGATTACATGAGAGAATACAGGTAAAAGCATCTAGCATAGCTCCTGGCACACAGGCTGTTCAATAAACGTTTATTGAATCTGAGTTTAAACCTCATCCAAATTGCAAGTATTATTGTCTTTATTCATCCACAGGCATGACAACCCTGAGTTAGATACATTTCTGATTTTACATCTTGCAAATTACTTGGTCTTAAAGAAGTTATTCATTTTTTTCTGTAGTGTATGTTAAAAGTCAGGTACTTGAAAAAACTGGCTTTGTATGAGAGCCTCCTATCTTTATGCAAGTTAATAAAGAGGCCAGGAATGTTGTGCAGGTTTCAGAAATCTGGCGGCTGTTTCTTTAACTCTGCAACTTAGACAGAAGACTTCTGTTTCTTTATGAGCACACTACAGTGAATATTTTGTCTAGCTGCAGGGGAAAAGCTTTGTCATGGACTTTGCAGACAATAGCCTTAAAAGTAAAATGGTCTGCTTTTGGTGCCGGGAGGTTCAGGGGCCTATTGTTAGTGCACAATGGATTTCTATTGCTGCATTCCTGCTTTGCAAGGTTTGTTAGCTTTTAATGACTGACGGTACTCTACTGCAAATACCATATTGGTTGGACCCTGTTTACATGCAACTCAAGAATTTCTGTAGAGTGCTGGAAAAAAGAAACAGTGGTATTTGTTTGACCTACTCTGTTAAGGTTTAAAAAATGATTTCACTCACCAAGTGTTTACTGCGAATGTAGAAACATTGGCTATCCCTGCAGAAGTATTTTAAAGTTACTTGTAAAGCCTCAGTGAACAGAAATATTGATTACAGTAAGAAGAGGTTTAATGCATTTTATTACTCAGAATTGTCATTACCATTTTCAAAACACTGTGGTATAGAAATAGGGATATTTTAAGAAAAAGTAAAATCTTTAGGATCTTTTTTCCTTAAATGTGAAAAAATAGAAAGATATATTTTGTTACAAACGAAGAAAAAAACCATTTCACACATTCCATGTAAATGTGCACACAGTAGTTGTGGGGTGTGTGTGTGTATATGTACACACTATACATACAGGCTATGTGAAGAAGTAATCATTCAGAGCTTTTCGCTATGTTATTTTCCCCAAGTTTTTGACATCTGAAAAAGAAGCAATCCACGCTGCCACAGTTTTTCCAAAGAAAATTCCACCTCCCGTGCGTTGAAAACTCCACGCAGGCTTTGTGACTCTGATAGCTGATGTCTTTAAGATGAGGGCCTGAGAAAGTAGATAGCATTAGCCGAGATGATGCTGAAGACGCTATAAATGCATTTTATTGTGGGGAAAATTAACGCTTTTCTAATAATCTTAGGGTCTCTAGGCCAGACTGTCCCTTTGATAAGTTAACATGTACTCCCTTTATGCTCCTAGTAGGGGGTAAACAAATGTCTGAACAAACACAAATACGCATAAACACCAATGTGGAGAATGGCAGTGTGTGTCTTCGATCCAGATAATAAGTGTGGGTATTGTTATTTAGATGGAGCATACTGGGACACTTATCTTTTAGTACACACCATTTTCTAACTGAATGCAGTGCTAATCGTGGGATTGAAAGCCATTGTAATTGTGTACCCATCTAAATGCTGACAAGAATATAAAATTACATTATTTGGAACTGAGTTTGATGTTTCGGAGTTTTATTAGCATTTATATTTACTTATACATTAAAATTCAACACAAAAAGAGAGATCAAAACCATGTGACGTATAGAAACAAATGTCAGACCACCACATAACCCTGCTCTCTAAAATCTGTGTGTCCTGTCTTAATACAGGACATTTTAAAAGAGTGTGATACAAATCTGAAATAAGCAAATAATAAGTTTCCATTATAGGCATTACTTACTTGTCTAGATTCTGCAATCTTTGTAAAGCTTCTTTTACACCAACTCTTTTTTATATGTTCACGGTACTGGCAAATCTTTCCACAGTGTGCTAACCACCACACGATGTTAAACACATATTATGAAGTGGATGTAATTGTAAACACACAGAGGGACATAATTACATGTAGCAGATTTAAGAGCTAATTCTTTGCCTTTTTTTTTACTCTGCATTTTATCAACATAATTATTTTTTGACTGCAGACTAACACCCTGAAATTGACAAGCATCCATTATAGCAGGAATTTGTTCACCAAATTGGAAAACAATGAACTGCAGGTTTATATGTACCCATTGTCATAAAGAATTAGTACAGCTTTGTTCCAGGAGAGGAAAAAGCTAATGATTTTGGAACAGCAGGTGACAAAACACATTCTTTTTTTCCTCCCCTGTTATCAGTTTGTTGATGAAGTCATTATGAACTGGGACCAGGGTAGGGATGGCCTTCTTTTTAGCAGAGAGACTTTTAATGAGCTTCGTTATAAAGAGAGTCACATTGATTTGCTTACCTGTTTTTATTTCTTTACTTAGAAACCCCCAGTATTGAAAAGCTACTATCAAAGGACTGGAAAGACAAGCTTCTTGCAATGGGATCAGGGAACTTTGGTGAAATAAAAGGTAATGTGTTTGCAATTATTTTGATCTAAAATGTACCGAAATGAATCTGATATTTAGAAATATTAGTGGTGATAAAGTATTTCTGCCCCCATGCACTCTGTCTTTGGTGTTTCTTCCTTCTAGCTTGAAAAGGGATGTACAGTGGTTCTTATTTTCTCTCTGTGCCTTATAACAGTATGTTTTTTTAACAGAATAACCCCACTATATCTTTAACAGTATTTGACTTTCATCTTTTTTTCTAAATTTTAAATGACTTACTTTATAAGTACAAATGTATCTACAGCAGGGTTAAAAACTGTATGAGATGATTTTATACATGCTACATATTAGAAGTATGAATATACGTAATCTCCACTTAAAACCAGGAATGACAAAGGGAGAAGGTTTAATTCCTCATATAAAAATAAAATCAAGTGGTGCTTTCAATTAATTAAAAAGTGTGTTTTCTCAGAGCATAGCAGGCAATCTATGGTTTTCTGTTTGTTGCCAATAGGACACTTTTGAATCTGAGTTCTAAAGGATTAATTTTAAGGAAAAACTACTTATTAATATTAATATATTTTGTTATGTATTACTCTGTATATTTTTGATAGAGGCTGACTATATATTTTAAATATCACCAGATTTATATTGATATACATGTAGAAATCTGTGTGTAAATAACTGTTTTGCATATGTGTGTACGTGCAAGTGTTCTCCCACTGAGAGGCAATCATCTCTCTTAAGGCTTTACTACATCAGAGCATCCTGGAGAAGGGCAAAGGACAAATCAGTCTTCTCAAATGTTTGACTTACATGATGTCAGCATCTCTGTTTGGGAAACTTCCATAAAATGTTTGCTTGAGTATCTCACTTTTCATCCATATATTTGGAGTTTACATATATTCAGGCTACGATTACGTGTGAATGGGTGGTGAGAAAGTGAGTTCCTGCCAATCAGCAAATTAAGTAACCAGAACCTATAATGGAATGAAATTCAAACAAGTAATAATTAATATCCCTTGAAGAGCTTGAAGACAAAGTTTAAAGAGAACAGAAAAGTTTAATTTTCTGTTTTGTTGGATTTTAACCCATTTGCACCTGAGATGCAGGATGTATTCTCCAAGGTTCTTTATTCTCCTGTGACCTGGGTAATAACTGAGAGCAGAGCAGAGAAGACCGCCTGTTCCAAGCCTTGTGATCTCATTCCATTGGAGGACAAACATTTTTCCCTCCCCCCTTTTCCTCACAAGTCTAACTTAAAAGCAGCAACAGCAGTGATGATAAGCTTAGAGGAAAGAAGCTCAGCTGTCCTTTCAGGCTTGCCTGTGGGGTTAGTTCAGGAAGCTGCAGTACAGTCACAAAAGAAGTTTCTGTCTTTAATTTTGAGTTTTTTAAGCTTCACATTCAGAGCACAAGTTTAGTTATTGTCCTCTGGTTCTGTTCAAAAAGCTGTTTTCTGATGCATTTAAAAGCAACTGTAGATCTTTCTTCTGTTGGGGGCATGGTTGTTAGGTGCTCGGATCAGGTTTGGCAGAAAACTGGAGGAAAAAAGCGCTGGGTTACTTTTCCTATTGACTGCCCGTGACAGTTGCAATTACTATCCATTGTTCATAGGTGGCTCGAAAGTGGAGAGGATACAATAGTGTGTTGCCCTCTGGGGGGAAATGAATTTGACTTAATGGTTCTTGGGTGGGGGGGCGGTCAGACCCTATGATTATGTGCTCCAGGAATGTGGTTTTCATACCACCTCAGACGAAGTTAGTCAAGAACAATAGCCCAGCTGTTTGGCCCCTGTTTTTTATGAGGCAGATAAAGGTGTTAAGTCTCATGTATGCGTAGACTGTTTTCAGTCAGGGTAGGGAAGGATAAGCATGACCTTTTTTTTAATCTGAAAATATGAACTTATTCAATTATTAGATAATTTATTACTGATAATTCAGAGCAATATATCTGAGTAGAACCTTTGTATATATTAGGATGTTTACAGCCTTTACAGTATTTACTGAGTCTTCTTGTGGATTGAAACTCTTCTCCTCCATTTACACTGGTCAGTTTTCACTTAACTTTTAATTAGTTCCAGGAAACATGAGTGAGTGAATGAATGCGTGTGTGTGTGTGTGTGTGTGTGTGTGTGTCCATTCTTGAATATCTAAGACCACAGCCAAGTGAGGGCAGAGCTCAGTTCCTAAGTGCCGGCTTCAAGTTGCTGTGAGTGAATTAGTTTCAGCGCATTTGGACAAAGATTAAACTTACAGCTTGGCAAAATTCAACGAAGTGTTTCTTACTATTTAAAAAGTGAAAATGATAAACTTTTAAAAAGAGGAGAAATAAATAGCATTTGGTCTGGATAGTTTAGCTGTCAATAAAGAGTTGTCATATGCACTTAAAGTCAGTCTCATTTTTCAGGAAACAGTGTGAGTTAGGAAAGGTCACCCGTTTCTGAAAGCATAAAATTATTTTTCATGTTAGATTAGAACTTAGACCATTTTATGGTCTGGTACTTTGGAAATGTGCAGTAATTAGGTTTTAAAGTTACATTAGAAACAATTCTCTAAAAAAACACACACAAAAGTACACTGGATTCAGTTTTCCAGAACAAAAGAGTTTGACTAAAAAGGTCTACCGATAGCAAACAGTCAATATATATTATAAACTGATTAGATGACTACAGACATAATTTATTTCTTCTTCTCTAATCAGCCGTATAGTGTAACTGGCCATTTACAGAGGTTTCTTTGCCCTTATCTATAGCAGAAGCACTGAGTAATGGTTGTGGCAGAAGCACTGAGTAATGGTTGTGTGAAAGATGAAGAAATACATTTTATAGCCTCATAGTTACTGAGAAGGGAAAAAACAGTGCCTGCACTCCAGTTGGCAGCCAGTAGCATCACACATTGTTTCAGCTAGCATGAAATTCCATTACACTGAAGGTCATTGCATTGGCACTTCACCTGAGGACAGTATCTGGGGATCCATGGCAGCTTTGACTAATCTAAACAGATCGTCTGTTTTTCAACAAAGCCATTGCAAAATGTGTATTTTACCGACTTAAATTTATTTGTAAAATTATAACAAAAATATCTTCATGCAAAATTCTCTTAAAATATTTCTATTTTGTTCAGGCTATAAAAGCAGGGCATTGTTTGAGAGGTTTTCTGAGTAGGGCACTCAGAAAAGCCTAGATCAGTTTCTCTACCTGCCTTGTTCGAAGAATTCTTCAGAGCCTTGTTTCTTTCCCATTGGTATCCCAGGTAGACCCTTCTCACCCTGCTCAGAATGCATTAATTTAGGCCAGTAAAGTGTTATATCTGGTATTAAGGAAAATGCCAGTTGTAGTCGGTATAATAAAAAATTGGCTCTTTTTGAAAGCTATAATTTTGTTCTTTCTAGAAGATGGGACATAAAGGCAAACACCAAACAGCTCTAGAATGCCAATAATGGATTCAAGTAAATAATCCATTCCACAATACTATGGTCTTTCAGAACTCATGAATTAAAGTCATGCTATGTAGATTCAACACGAGGATTAAAGTAGATCCCCTCTTAGGTGACATAACATTTTGATATGAAAGAGATATGTAGATTTAGTATATGGCTTGAAAGAGATGATTCTGTTTAAATAACATTAGACGATTTGAAAATAAGCAGGCTTGGAACAGGAATCAGGTCCCAGGTAATAATCTAGTAAGAGGTATCCTTGGATTTTTATAAATTTAAAACATGGAAACTAAAATCTCAGCATTTAGATATGTAAGGGTTTGTATAACTTTGAAAGCTGTTTTAAACCCATTCTTTTAAAAGTCCAGTAGCTATTTAAGAAACACATGGTTTGCTAATTACCTTGTGACTGTTTCATTTGTGCATAAAATATATATATATATATATATATATATCTTCACATTTTTTCAGAGGGGTTGGAAATGTTGATTATTTTCTGAGGGAACTGTTGTATCTGGAATTTGTTTAACATAAGAGTCAGCCATAAGGAAGGTACATAACATATAGTCATTTACTTCTAAATAAAGTAAATGTTTAATGTTTTTAATCTACTAAGCTTGTTTTATAATTCCTTGTAGTTGCTTATGAGTAATGTTTTCACTTTTTGTAAAAACTATTTCATAAGAACTGAAGAAAGACTACTGGGGCACAGAACATAAATTTTTAAAATAAGTTTGGCAGTGTCTATAAAAGCAGAAAGCGACTTTATGTTTTCTGCAAATCAGTTACTTGCTCTGTCTTGGGAAGCCAGAGTCCTCATGCCAGTGTATAAACACAGCAAGCGATGGGAAGAGACCAATCAGCCACTGGCTCTCATTGATTTGTATATTGATAATCCAGTTCACCAGTTAAGAAGTTATAGGGCTTCCCTGGTGGCGCAGTGGTTGAGAGTCCGCCTGCTGATGCAGGGGGCACGGGTTCGTGCCCCGGTCTGGGAGGATCCCACGTGCCACGGAGTGGCTGGGCCCGTGAGCCATGGCCGCTGAGCCTGCGCGTCCGGAGCCTGTGCTCCGCAACGGGAGAGGCCACAACGGTGAGAGGCCCGCGTACCGCAAAAAAAACAAAACAAACAAACAAACAAAAAAGAAGTTATATATACCTTTTACAGCAGGCACTTAATAATGCATATTTTAAGCAGATACTCTTGCATATTTAATCTAGGGTTTATATTTGAAAGTAAAAATATTCTCTCCTCAACATTTTTCTCATTTAAAAATACATTCATTCATTTAACAAGTATTCATCTGTCCGAGGGTTGTGAAGATCCTAAAATTAAAATAATTGTAAAACCATTGTTTTTTCTTGTAGATGTGGACTCCAAAGCTTACGCTATCCAGATCATTGGATAATAGAATTTACCTAAAACATTTTCCTCTTTTAAATTAACATTTCTCTTACTAGGGAAGCATGATGTAGTTAAAAAGATTTGGTGTCTTGTTGCCCTGATTCTCTCAAAGACTTGTGGAAATGAGGTTACCTCTTTTGGTTTATTTCCTCATCCCTTCATTTAAAAACAGTTGCATTGATTACATGCCTGTTTATGTACAGCCACTTTGCTTACACCCTTTACAAAATTATTGTAACAAAGTCATTTTATTCCTATTTTATGTAGGAAGAAATTGAGTCTCAGAGAGAGAGAGATGAATTATCCAAAACCACGTGCTTTAGTTGTGACAGGGTCAAGATGTGACTCTAATTCTGTCTGCCTTCAAAGCCTGTGCTCTCTACATGATGCTTGGTAGTCCGTCTTAGTAAAGTTGGAATGGGTGATCTCTAAAATCCTTTAAAACATGAAAACTTATTCAGACCCACCACAGCTAGATGAAGAGTCCCTCTGAGATGCACCCATCATTAGCCTGCCTCCATGGTGAACTTTCCTTGTAGACTGTCTAGCTTACTGTAGGCCCAAAGTTTGGAACCCAGTACGTATTTGATGAATGGATGACCAAGAAATGCCATGTTTCGAGATGGCTATTATTGACTACATTCCAGTCTCTAAGTGCAGTAAATTGAATGTGATATTAAAAACAAAACAAAACAAAGCTGTTTTTTACGTTTTAAGTACAATACCCAAGTAAGCGGATGGAATAATCTTGGGAAAAGGTTATAAAATTACAATCTCCATTAAAAGGTAGACATTTGTAGTAAGAAATTGTATAGAACCATACTTTTTAAAAAAGGTAAGAACGACCCTTGCTTTCACTGTACAAATGATAATGCACACATCTTGTTCATAATGTCCCAGAAACAAAATATCCAGCCATGGGGTAACAATGGTAAAGACCATAGCTACTTTTCAATTGTTCCATTTCATTCTGATAGTCGCCCTTAAAACTGATAGCTTTCACGGGAATTTCCTGGCAGTCCAGTGGTTAAGACTTGGTGCTTTCACTGCCAGGGAACTCCCGCAAGTCAAGCAGTGCAGCCAAAAAAAAAACCTGATAGCTTTCCATAGTACATATATTTTAAAATCCAAGCCAAAGTCCACCTTTTAAGATATTGAAGCAAAAAGAATTAAACTATTTTTTCAAAATAAATTACAGAAATCTGAAAGAAGGTAAGAATATTTATCGTATTAGCAGTGTACACTAGAATATCAATTTATACTGTCATGTTATACATGATTGCATTCCTTATGTAATTTTAATAGATTCCAACTTCTAAGAGTAAAGGATATATAACTAAATTTTATCAAAGTTTGATTGCATTCGTTGTCAATGAAAAAGACCAATGCACAGATGTTTGTAAGTTAGATAACTTAAATATTCCTTTGATGAAATAGAATAATGCCATTCATACCTTCTGATGAGGGGGTCTGACTTTTACTCTAGTTGGATAAGACTGCCATTGAGAAAAGCTTTAGTTGTAAATTTAGAATAACTTAAGTTTGTTTCTATTCATTATATTTTCAGTTCATTCAACAAATACTGCTCTCTGTCTTGCCATGTGCTATGTTCTGGAGATGTAATGGTAGCAAATGGAGTAGACAGATTTCTGCCCTTCTGGAGCTTACACTCTAGTAGAGGCACTTGCTTTTTTTTTTTTTTTTTTTCCAGTTTTATTTTATTATTATTATTTTTTACATCTTTATTGGAGTATAATTGCTTTACATTGGTGTGTTATTTGCTGCTGTATAACAAAGTGAATCAGCTATATGCATACATATATCCCCATATCCCCACCCTCTTGCCTCTCCCTCCCACCCTCCCAATCCCACCCCTCTAGGTGGTCACAAAGCATCAAGCTGATTTCCCTGTGTTATGCGGCTGCTTGAGGCACTTTCATTAGGCAGAATTTTTAAAGGCAACGTAATGAATGACTTTTAGATCCTTCAGGTGGATTACCAGTTGAAAGCAACAACATTTCCATAAAAAAAAATCAAAGCAATTTGAGTCCTGTCCAAATTATAACACTGATAATCTAAGGAACACCAACAATAAAAGAAAAAAAAAAACATCCTGGCAAAGATTGACTGTTGCTTTGAATTAAATGTGTGGTAATTTTTTTGAAGGAAGAAATATAATCTCTAGTTTACTTTCAGCATCAAAATTCTAGGACTTTTCCTTTCCTGAGTGACTCTTCCTTCCTTTTACTTTTCCTTTAGTTATATCAAAACTCCCAAAGATTTACTGTGATTTTGATTGTAACTTCAAGCCATATATCTATTGCATTTTGGTAGAATAGAACAATATTGGGGAAATATAAGCTTCCAAAGACTTTTTCTTGTTATTTCAAATGTATTTGAAAGCATCCTTAACTTAAGTAATCCTAATAAGGGTTATTTATCTATTTGCATAGAATCATACATTGTCACTCAATTAAGGACTTTTCTCTCATCTTAAGAAGTTTATTTATTTAATTCATTTAAGAAAAGGTTATGGGGTGCCTACTATGTGCTAGGCATTACTCTGGGGACATAGTATTAAACAAAAAAAGCTAGAATTCTGCTATCATGGAGTTTATACTCTACTGGGAGATTCAGTAAATAAATATGTCAATAATGGTACAACATATGGTGCTAACGACTATAATCTTGGATTTAACTGTAATCTTGGGTGGCCATAATGTGATCAGTTAGTTTTCCAACTACATTTCATTATTTCATGAGAGCATAAATTTATATTCTCAAACTTGAATATTTTTTCTGCTAGCTATATTCTATTTTTGAAGAAAGCTTCTGAGTGGCATATGAGAAAACAGTCTAAAACGTGATTAACTAATAGAGTTTTCCTTTTTAAATGTAGAATTCCTTAATTCTGATTCTTCAAGATTCTCTTTTTAAGAAAAGAAGAATCGTATTACTGATAATAATACCCTTGATCTCTTAATAATTGTGGTTATTAAATTTTCATGTTTTGTCTTGCCTCTTTGATACAAAAAAAAAAAAAAAAAAAAACTACTTAGGGCCAAGAACTGTGTTTTAAGCCTCTTTTTATTTCCATCAAACCCCAGCTTAGAACATTAAGAATAATAAATGCTCAGCCAACAGTTTTTTATTTACTTATGAATTAAAAGGGGGAAAACAGCTACAGATTATTACTCATCATAAATAAAAACAATCAAAATATTTGTTCATCCTGATATTTTGTAATGAGTAAATAGCCATCACTTTTTACTGTTGAGTTATAATCTAAAAGAAGGTAAGTATATCTTTGTGTGTCAAACCTTACTCATGTAATAATTCTCTATACACCAGAGTCACTGTCATCGAAAAACCACTCTCTTCTTATTTCTCTTTTCTTACATGTTTTATTGCCATCTTATTTTCAGGGACTCCCGAAAGCCTCGCTGAGAAGGAGAGACAGCTCATGGGGATGATCAATCAGCTAACCAGTCTGCGAGAGCAGCTGTTGGCTGCCCATGATGAGCAGAAAAAACTGGCTGCATCTCAGATCGAGAAACAGCGGCAGCAAATGGAGCTGGCCAAGCAGCAGCAAGAACAGGCGAGTAAGAACTAGAGAACACAGTCAGGTTCCTCAGGTATTGTTCTGCCTGAAGCATATAGGTCACTCTCGGAGGCAAACAAAGATCAGTAAAAGCTTCTCCCCCCTGCCCTGCCTAAGTAAATAAAAAGGCGAAACACCAAAGCGGGCAAAAAACTCATCTGAAAAAGCTTATTAACTATTTTAGCGGTACATAACTTGGAAGTGATTATAATCGAGGTGAAATTCATGAGCACAGTACCAAAAAGAACCGTGGAGAGTCAAGAGACCATTTCCAGTCAGGGACATTAGGAAAGATTTCATTCAATGTGTTTGGTGTGAACTTGGAAGGCTAGGTAGGATTCAACAAGTGAAGTCAATTTCTAATCATGGGGCAAGAAGTTTGGTCAGGAGGCTACTATGATCATCTAAATAAGGTGTGAGACTCTAAACCAGATAGGGTAATGACCATGGAGAAAGAGAAAGAAGGGATAAATAGGTGGAAGAATTATGGTCAGTTGAATTTTTTAAGTGGGCTAAAGAGAGAGGAAAAGCGTTGAGCCTGGGTAACAGGGAAGGTCAAGAGGAGGGCAGATTTGGAAAAGCAGGTGGTTTTGTTATGCGGAATTAGAGCTGTCGTCGGGTTGTCCATCTGAAAGTATGTGAGAGAATAGAAATATCAATTAACAGTTTGGAAGAGAGGGCTGAGCCTCATTTCCTAGATTACCTACATAGAGATGGTAGTTTAAACCACTGGAGACAGTCGGTTTCATTCATTTATTCAAAAAATAGTAATCGAGTGCTTGTGTGCCAGGCACTGTGCTAACTACTGGAGTTACCTCAATTAACCAGAAAGACAAAGCCCCTAATTTCTAGTGGAAAGAGAGACAATTAACAAAGGAAAAGAAAAATCACCAAAATAACTTCAGAGAGTCATAAGTAATTTGAAAACATGCACTGAGAGTAATTTAATAAATATTGATTAATATGACAAGTTTGGGTTGCCATCTTAGCTTGGGTGGTTGGCTCTGCCAGTTAAGCTCAGATCTAAATGACCTATGAGAGGCAGTGGTATTAATATCTAGGGCCAAGGCGTTTCATGCAGAGGAATGACAGGTTTATAGGCCTTAAATGAGAGTAGTGGTGATATCATGAGAAAATGGAAAGGAATTAAGGGAAGAGAGATCCTTGGGAGATGCTGGCATATAGCCGGTAGGGAGAGGAAAATGAACATATCCAGAAGCAAGAAGCTACTAGAGTAGTCATTTAGATTCTCATTGTCAGCCTTTAAGCACGGGGCTTCTCTGGAGCTTTAGTAGCAGAAATCAGATAATAAGAATTGACATGTAGAAGAACAATGCATAGTGGGGAAATGGAGGTAATGCATAAGAAGTATTACTTAAAAGAGGCTTGGTAGTCATGGGAAGGAAAGACAGAAGGTGTCATAGGGTGAGCTTACATATAAAGATGGCACATCTTTTCTAGGACTAAGTTTACCATCCCATGGTCTGGGTTTAGTGCACTCACCGTCTTAAGTGGAGGAGGACTGTTATTTAGTCAAGGGTACTTTTGTATCTACACAAATACTGCAAAACCTTCTAGACAGCTGTCAAAGTGTAAACTAGCAGAGTTGAAAAAGGTGGAGAAACATTCAGATTACATTTGAGGAGCCCTCCTTTCCTTCTGTTTACTTTTCTCTACTTGATGGTTCATCTCTGCTTGAAAGATGATATTTTTATTTTTAATGAAATGTGTCACCATCTTCCTTAAGTATATATTTAGCCTGTTATTGGAGATGACCCTTATTCCTCTTGCTCTACCCGTATGATGAAACAGCTCAGAATGATTGCCCATGACAGTCTAGAAGAACACCACTCTTTTCTTGTTCATAACCCTCAATACCTTCAGACATCTGAATTCAGAAGATCCTAGGAGCCTCTGAAACTGGAACTCAGATGGGGATATTTCTTTGTAGAGAATCCATACTTCGATGGGCCTGAGGGCATGCTTGTCCTAAAAAATCTGAGCAATTACTAATGGAGAGCAAGGTTCCTTACTTTCTCTTTCACACTCTGGCCCATCCTCAAATATCATCAACGGATTCTAGAATTTTTTACTTACTCTGACATTCTCCTTAGAACTTCAGAAATCCTTAGGTTCTTCCAGAAATTCTCCGCTGTATTGGAGCGATGCCAGGCAATGCTGCCTATACAGCCTGAGAGAAGATCCCTCCTGAGAGCTACTGGTCAGGTTCCTGGAGCCCGTTCTGCTCTCCCAGATCCTCTCTGCCGTGCAGTGCAGCATCACCACTCTGGTAGTCACTGATCTTTTCATCGGGACACAGGGATATTTCTGAAGGACATTTAGTATTTATTCCTTAAGATTCAGGTTAGGTTTCTCTCACCTTGAGAACTCCTTTTCTGACCCTACTCCCAACACTCCCTAGTCAGTACACTGTGTCCCTACTCTGTGCTCCATTCCACATTCATCTTTTCAACAACTTTCTGTTGAGCACCAATTTGATGCCAGCTTCTGTTTTAGTTAATAGGTTACAGCAAGGAATAAAACAGACCAAAATACCTCATGTATTGAATTCTAGTTGGGAAGAGATAGACAATAAATAAGTAAAATATATGTTGAAAATGAAGCAGAAAAATAGGGATGAGGGTGCCAGGCAGAGAGATAGGCTCTTTTAAAATGACTGCTCAGGGCTTCCCTGGTGGCGCAGTAGTTAAGAATCTGCTTGCCAATGCAGGGGACACGGGTTCGAGCCCTGGTCCAGGAAGATCCCACATGCTGTGAAACAACTAAGCCCGTGTGCCACAACTACTGAAGCCCGCATGCCTAGAGCCCATGCTCTGCAACAAGAGAAGCCACCGCAATGAGAAGCCCACGCACTGCAACAAAGGGTAGCCCCCGCTCACTACAACTAGAGAAAGCCCATGCGCAGCAATGAAGACCAAACGCAGCCAAAAAAAAAAAAAAAAAAAAAAGACTGCTCAGGGAAGGCCTCATTGATAGGGTAACAGCTGAGCAGAGACTTGTAGGAGGTGAGGGAGTGACCAATGCAGTCATCTAGGAAAAGAGTGTTCCAGATGGAGGGGAAAGCAAGTGCAAAGGCCCAGAGGCAGGAGTACCCTCGGGAAATAGGAGTACCCTTGGTGTGTTCAGCGGACAGGAAAGCGGAGTGGCAAAGGGAAGAGAGAGAGATGACGTCAGAGAGATAGCAGGAGGCCAGCTCATACAGGGCCTTGCAGGCATCATATGGAAACTGGCTTTTACTCTGAGCGAGACAGAGGGTTTTGAAAAGAGGAATAACACAACACAACTTATATTTTAAAAGGATCTCTCTTGGTGCTGGTTTATAGTAGGCTGCAAGGAGCGAGGGCAGAGGCAGAAAGAGCAGATAGGACGCTATCACAGCAATCCAGGCAAGAGGCAGCAGTGACTTAGAACAGGAGGAAGTGTGGAGGGCTATGAGGCGGTTAGTTTCTTAAGAAAATCTTAAGGCACTTATAAAAGGATTTAAATATCAGCCGAAATATTGATATGTGGGAGGAAAGAACCGGACTTAAGGAAGAGAGTGGTATTTCGTTTTCTACCTTTTCCTTTCTGACTTTTCTTCAGAGAGAGAGAAAGGAATTTCTTTAGGCTGTATTCCTAAGATAAAACAAAAGCATTGAAGTAATTATAATTGTACCAGCATACATAGGGGAAATAAAAAGTTCATTGTGCAGCCATGTAGATCCAACCTCATCATATAGGTTCTTTACTTTCATTCATAGTAATGGACTCTGCATAAATTTTTTCCTGAATTTTTTGCTTTCTGATACAGAGGTTAAGGGATATACTTTCCTAATGAAAACGATAGTGACCATAGCATTGAGAATAAGAATTAGAGCGTATTTATAAGGCAGCTATAAGTTTCATGAGGAGAAGTTACATTCTTGTGAGAAGGTTTCCTGCCCTATCTCATGAAGTGTTTAGAATTTTCTTCTTGTCTCTTCACTCACGCACTCTTCATCAAGTGTTCACTCTGTACTCCTTTTGCATCAGGCTTTGTGCAAATGGTGAGAGCAAAATCTACGTGACCCCTAACTTCACCGTATTTATGAATTTCTACCTAGGAGACAGAAACCTGTTAATTAAAGCAAAAACAAAAGTAAATGTAACATCATAGCATGTGGTATAGTATCAAGTAGGTAGAGGATGTTATGAGAGCGAAAAGCAGGGGGCAGTTGTGCTCGTCTGGCTTAACACTTAGGATGACCACACTGAGGGCTAATTCCTGAGTTTAGTTTTGAATCTGTTGAATTTGTAGTGCCTTTGAGAATGTTGTTGGATAAACGGGTCTAAAGCTTAAAGCAAAGATCCAGGCTAGAGAAACAAATTTGTAATCACTTGGCATACGTGTGGATGTAGGTATAGAGGGAAAAGAATAGAGTCTAAAGTGAGCCTACAACATTGTGTGATGGGGGAGAGCCATTGACAGTAACTGAGAAGAATCAGACTCAGGGGTAAGAGCAAAACAGGGAAAATGTGATGTCATAGAAGCCAAGGGAGAAAGTTCAGGATCAAGGGAAAGCGCTTGAGTATTGAATTCTGATGAAAAGTCAAGCAGTGAGGACGAGAAAACACTTCAGAATTTAAAAAATTGGAAGTGACTGGTGACTTTATTAAGAATCCTGTTAGTAGAGACCAGAATTGAATGTGTTGAGGACTCGGCAGTCAGTTTGTGAGAGGCAGAAATGACAGTGTTTACCAAGACACAAAAGCATACCAGAACCTCACTAAAGAATAGAGCATCTTACAGTACCTTGTCCTGCTCTGAACTCTTTGGCACACACCCTCCCGTTTGTGAAATATTCTCTTTCTTTTCCAAGGGCTGAAAACGTCAGAGGTAAGTACCTCCTTAACATACTGCCAGGAAGAGGGATTTTTGAAACTCCAGCATTTCACACTGGATTGGACCACTGTTGTTGTGTCTTAGGCTTCGTTTTCCAAAAGAAGCATAACTGTTCCTAAGTCTAAATATCTTGTCTGATCCTACTTAAGGATGACTTGCTGGTCCTGTAGGGGCGCAGGCACATCTATCTTCATAAGCTTAATCAGTGTCAAATCAAACTTTGAGACACAGAACGTTAGTAATCTCCCCCTGGGACTGTAATATACTCTTAACTTTTTCATGTGCCGTTTCTCCGCAGATTGCAAGACAACAGCAGCAGCTTCTGCAGCAACAACACAAAATCAATTTGCTTCAGCAACAGATCCAGGTCAGAAACCATAATTTCATACGGACTTCCAATTAAGAAATAGATTTTCTTTCTCATTTTCAGGTGACCTGACTGAAATGAGCTCCAAAATAAAAGTTACTTTCAGCCTAATCATGACGTGTCACCCACGTGCCATGAGAATCTTGCACACGGTGGCTCTGTAACGGGCCCGACTGTGTCGCGATGTTTTAGGGGAGGCAAGCTGATGGTAATTTTTATCCTACACGGAAAGGAAATTATTGTAGAGAAATGTTTCATTTTCTCTATTCTTTAATGTTTAATATGTGCCTGGAAATGTTCTTAATGGGGGAGGTGCAGGGGAACCAAAGCAGAAAGGTTTTCAGTTAGACGTCGGTGGCAGGGAGAACGTTTTACAGTAGGCTCGAGAGCCACGTGTGATCAAGGTGGAAGTGAGGGAGGGTAACGATTTGGTGTTCAAGTCGAATTTCACCCTTCATACTGCGTGGAGAAACGAAGACTGAGGGCTCTATAACCTCCACATTTTTCTTCTGTGGAAATTTGCAAGGATGAGAAGCAAAGCTGCCAGGGAAAGCCTGTCTCCACCACTTGCTTGTGGCATGCGTTTTGCCAAAATTTGTTTCCCTTTCTGAAAATTCCCTTTCTGAAAGCACTCATTTCGTAGAGTATTTAGGAGAATTTAATAAAATCATGGATGGAGAGCTTTAGCGTAGGTGTCAAGGCACATAGTAAGTACTCAATACATACTTGCTGTGACTAGCAAGAAGAGGAAACTAGTTCATGGAGCAATGACTCCGACCTTACGGGACATCATCCATCGGAAATCAGCTGTTGGATTTGCAGTCAGCTTATCTGGGGAGAAATTCATCATTCTCTTGAAGCTGTATCTTGAGAATCCAATATATTTTATTAAGTGTAAATATAAATGACAGAAGCAAACATGTCAAAATTATTTCATCCGCATGTTTATCATGTTTAGACTTATTTGCCAAAAAAGTTTATCCCGTTTTATCTAACTGGGTCAGCTACACTTAATTTCTTTACTGTGGGTTATATAGCCCAGTCAAGGTTTACTCATTCTTATTCTACCTGAGATTTTAATGAGCACAGTTTCAGTGAGACAGAGAAACATCAGTGAAATGTTCCAACCAAGACTCCGTGCCTTCCTTAATTACGAACAGCATATTTCTAATGTGATATTATCTGTCTGTCCATATCTGGAGTGTGGTTATTCATTCAATGGTTTAAAACTGTTTTTCGGGTTTCATGTTTAGCCTGAGCATGCTGCCTTTGAATGTAATTTTAGTTGATGGTACGAGGTTATCTACACTTAAAATGTTTTTGATTATTGAAAACCAAAGATAATAGAATTATTATGGCAATTTCTCATTATAAATAAGATACAATTCCATAATGAGTGGTGTGGTCCTTTGCAAGTCACTTCGTTTCACTGTGATTTGATGAGGGTACCAATGGTTTTAAGTGCTTATAATTTTTATGAGATTGAGATAGTCTTTTGTTACATAGAATTGCAAAAATGTATGTAAACCCGTATTATAAATATGTAGAAGGCTCAATCAGCTGTGTTTTCTGACCATATAAATTGTGCAACACCTTCAGTACTTACTTGTTTTGCAATTATTCCACAGTTATGACCACTGCGTTCATAATGTGGATTTAAAGCTCTGTCATAATAACAAAATGTTGAAATTGGAGGATTTCTTGCTCCAGAGCATGGAGCATTGTACTTTATAAGGCAGAGCATTTTTTAAATGAAGTACCTTAAACTATTCTAGAAATGACATGACTATAGAAACTGTATTCCAGCGAGCTGGAGCCAAGTTTAATAACTTGCCCAAGATCACATGACTAGTTATAGGTAGAACCAGGATCAGAAGCAAAGTTTTCTGACTGTTAGTTGAAATTTTGCTGAGTATGAGAATTTTAAAAGCTTAGAATTTCTATTTGATCAAAATGTTATGCTGCTGGCCTCCACTAGTTCACAGGGTAGACCAGAAAAAATCCAGTAGTCCCTAAAGGAAATAATGTCACACTGACAGTAATTTGGGGGAAACATTAAAAATGCTGAGATACTATATCTGTGTATTTGTCCTCTTTTCTAGTGTTAGTACAGATAAATGATAACGACGGAGTCAAAACCCATCACGCTATTATTTTTTTAAAAAAGCCTGGGGATGTTTCAGGCAAAAATTAAATACCGAGCAAGAGTGACAGTCTGAAAGGAATTAATTTTCACAGCTTCTAGTATATTCATTAACTGAAATCATAGTTCTAAAGTATATTTTATAAACTGTTAATTTGGAGCTGTCTAACAAACACTTAATAGTTATGAAAATCACAATATATTTAAATTAGTCTATTGAGAGATATGGGAAGCACTGATGTAGGGGCATATGTAGAAACAGAAGATTAAAAACATAGAGGAGATCCTTTTTGGTCCCCACATAAATCTTTAACCATATTTCCTTTATAGAATTTTTTCTCTCCCTTTTCTTCTTTCTACTTCCTCCTTTTCTTTGGCGGCATAGGACAAGGAGGGAGAAGATTAAAAATCAAATCTGCTATAGTAGAAGGCAAATTAAATGTATAACAAATATTATTATGAAATGAATTTTTGTCAATATGTATTCAATGCTCACATAAGAATTTACCATAGATTAAATTTTCTTTGATATCTGAAAATATGTAGTATATTTTGAATTTGATCTACTTTTTTTTCTTTCTTAAATATGGAGCCTTAAGACCTTGTAGAAAAAAACATACCACTTACGTTATTCATCCTGATTGCATTTTTTAGATGTTTTGTGCCATTGTTCCTTTGGACCTTAGAAAACAATGCATTCTAGTTCCTCTCTTGATATAATAGTGGACTGCAGTGTTACTAGTCCACAGTTAGGGCTACATTTAAAATTTTTCTTTCAGCTATCAATACACAAGACGTTCACTTTGTTCAGATATTGGGAAAGTTATGCAATACGTTAGATGGTCTAAGCAGATCTGTGAGATGGATTAGATTGATAGGTAAGAGAGCAGAACGAATTTTCACACTTGATAGCTGTGTTAAATGACAGGAGGGTGATGTCCCCTAACATTTTCCTCTTTCTTTCCTCTCTTTAAAGGAGAGGTTAATTTAGTCATCTTTATTCCATTCGAAGTATATTTCATTCAAGTTTAAAAACGTATGAACAAGTTTGTACGTGTGTGTATGAACAAACATTCACATATTCTAATGACCCAGGTTATTTAAAATTTCTCTTGACCTGTTAATTCTATTTTCTTTCAACTCCAGATGAAAAGAACGGGGGTAAGTTTTACTCTGCAGTTATTTGTTGAAAGAGAAAAATGCCATAAGAATTGGCAAATTAGCCAGTTTATTTAATCACTTAGGGTCAATTCTTTATGAACTGTTCTTATCTCTTTAAAAAGCAACCTTGGCTCTAAAATTGCATGATTCTAATTGGGTTGAAAACTCAATCTACATTATTTCTTTATAAAGACTTTATAGAGTTATAGCCTTCTTCCAGGTTTATTCACATAACTCATGAGGATTAAAAGAAGAATTAAGAGAATTTTCTGTCATTCTTTACAAGATCATAAATCAGTTCATTCTACAAATAAAATCATGCATAATATCAGAAACATCCCATCTTCCCTCAAGAATTTGTCTCTTTCTTTATGAGACCCTTAATTTTAGGAACACTAAGAAGGTTTAGTCTTCCTTTTCTACTATTCAGCAATATTTTTCTTTAATGTTTTTGTTTATTGTCCTTAAAAAAAAGAACATCTTTGCACTTTTACTTACTGTATCTAGCTAACTTTTAATGCACATTAATACGTAAGATGAAATTTGTAAATATTTCAGAGAAAAATATCCTTCTAGATTTTTTAAGGGTAATCTTTTTTTTTTTCTTTTACTCTATTGCTTGTGCTATAGTGCCCATCTTCAGCAGTTTTATTTCCTGACTAACCTCTTTTTTGTAAGTCAGCCTGTTTCTAATACTGTTAGATGGTTTATGTTTCCAGTAACGATCCTAGACGAGTGGTTCATCTTGACCTGATTCACTGTTACCAAAACCTTTTAAAGTAAATGAATGAGTGACCTCTATTCAACGTCCATCATGGCAACAAACTGAATGTTCCTGAAGACTCAAGTTCTCTTTTTGTCTTGAAGCTTTGTATAGGACACGGTTTCTGTAGCTTTGGGTGTGTGTTTGGGGGGGCCGGGGGAAGCATGTCCTAGTTTTAAATTTCTTACCCTTTTTCAATAATACTTAATGGAATTTAAAGTTCTTATTAGCATCTTAGAGGGTCAATCCAACAACATGCTCTAATATGAAATTGACTTAAATATTTTTAAGGGTGAATTTAAAGATATTGTACTTCTTTTCAAATGCATAATTTCATGATTCCCATACTGGAAGCTCAGTGTTTAAACTGTCATAAGAGATGCCACATATTTGTTGCATTCCCTCTTCTGATAAACTTTTCCAACTATTGTTCATTGTGTTCTCTTGGGGGCAAAGAATTGGTACTTAATAACCCCCTGTCATTGTTTCTGATTCATAAGGTAAGCACATGCAGGACTAATAGTAGTTTGGGGTCACTGATTCTGTCTGGAGCTAAGGATTGAGCAAAGGACAAATCTCTGTTCCTTAGTTGTGCAGTGTATATTCCATAGTATGTAGGAGAGAGCTTGATTCTTTAGGTGTTACAGGATTATATGTAACTGTATGAAACTTAAGTGTATTCAGTGGTTAAACAAAAAGATAGAGAGCAGGTTCTATGGATTTAGACATACTCATGTTTAGTTTCTGCATCTTTGTACCTCATCTGCTATGTGATCTTGAGAAATTGCTCAGTCCTTCTGAGTTTCATTATTCCCATCTATTAAATGGGAATTATAGTACCTAAGTCACACCCGGTTAGTCTGAGGATTAAATGGCATCATCCCTGGCATGTAATGAGCGCACAATGCTAAAAGTTTTTGCCTAAGTCATTTG